AATTTTTGTTAATAATTAATTAGCTATTTTATCTATTAATAATACTTACATTAATTAGTATTAATTATAATTATAATTAATTGCAAATAAAACTTGTTAATAATTAATTGCTAATAATTTCTATTGGTAATTAATTATTAATATATTATTATTTTTTATTGTTAATAATTGTAATTAATTGCTAATAATATTTTTCAATAATATTTGATCTTAATTAATTATTAGTAATTATAGTCAATTATAATTGCTAATAATTAATTGAAATTCTTATTAATAATAAATAATAAAAACATTAATAATTAATTATTAATGAATATAATTATAAATTAATTGTCAATAAGTATAGAAATTTTCTGATATTGAACTGGTATATTGCTTAAACTAAATAATAATTTTAATATTTCTAATAACAAATCAGAAATATTATTAATAAAAATTGAAAAATTTTATCATATGAATTTGATTAGTTATTAATTAATATCACAAAGTATTCTAAATTATTTAAAATAGAGGAATAAATAAATTATATTATATTTAATTTTACTTTTATTCAGAAATCTGAATAATAAATAAGTAAAATATTATTAATTATTTTTTTTAATTTTTAAAGAGATAAACAAAGTTTGTTAATAAATGCAAATTTTATTTAAAAAAGATAATTACTTTAGACAAATTAAAAAAAATTAAAACATTCTTTTCTAAATTTGTAATACATTATAAAAAAGAATATTATTAAAGAAAATTCATTCAATTATCAGTAGCTTTGCTCTTTTTTTATTATTTTTTTTATATTGTTAAATTTATCTGAAATACTGAATCGACAGATAATATTTGATGAAAAGACTCAGTGAAATATTACTATTATTAATCTAATCAAAACAAAATTCATACACAAATTTAATAAATCAAATTATTATTCAAAATTAATTTTTTCATCTTCAATATTTTTTGAATATTAATGAATAAGTATTTAATGATTTAATAAATACTAAATAATTTGAAGAAAATTAGTACTTAAACTTGAAGATAAAAATAAAATATTAGTATTACCAATGCAAAAATATATAATTAATAAAGAAAAAAATACTTACTTAGAAATTACTATACTATAATACAAGAAACAGATTTTACTAATTTTGAAATATTTATTTGTTTATTATTTATTCTTTTAATTATTTTAATTTTTAATAAATAAAAGTTTTTTTTTGAAATTTGAATTTACAGAAAACTTAAGATTGTAAACAGAATTATAATTAATTTATAGTTTAGTAATCAGAAAGAAAATATATTACAGACTAATTATCAAATAACAGTATGTATTTTATTTTTCTTCAAGCAATACTAATTATTAAATAATAGTATATATTTTATTTCTATTTCATTTTTCTTCAAACAAATAATAAATTATTCTATTTTTTCAGATAATATTACTAGTTGATAAAAATACTCAAAAGAATTTTTTGAAGAGATAAAGTATTACTTTGTATACAAGCATATAAAAATAAAAATAAATGATAATTATATTATATAATGAACTACTAATCTAACAGTTTCCAGTTACAGTTCACTCATATTCTGAAATTTTAGTCAAATTGAGATTATTAATATTAATGTTATAAAAAAATCTGTTGAATTTTTTGTAATGACAAATAATTAAAAATATATATTAGTTCAAAATAATTAAATATTATAATTATATTTATTTATATCTAATTAAAAATGATTAAATACTGAATTTATATGAAAACTGATATAAATTTAGTAATAAATCATTTTCTTTGTCTGATTAAAAATGATTAAATACTGGATTTGAATAAAAAATTAATATAAATTTAGCAATAAATTATTTCTTTTATTTAATTAAAAATGGTTAAATACTAAATTTGAATAAAAACTGATAAATATCCATTTTTAATTTGATTATAAAAACAGATTATTGCTAAATTTGTACAAAAAACTATATTTTTGCATGTTTTTATTGAAAATTCTAATAATTATGATATATATTTCTTTTATATATATTCAAATTATAATATAGCTAATACACAAATTCATATTTACTAATTATTTTAATTCCTATTAATTATTCATTTATTTATTTACTTATTTGTTTGCTTGTTTATTTACTTGTTTATTTATTTGCTCACTAAGTTACTTGCTTATTTTATGTGATTATATTCTTTTAATAAAATATAAGATATTTATAGTTCAATAATATTAAGTATAAATAATTCAGTAAAATATTTGATTAAAGTTCATTACACAATAATATCCTTATTAATTTGTCATTGTTAATTATTTATATTTCTTTTATTTAAAATTTGTCATAAATACAGTCACTATTAGTCATTTTTAATTATTCTTATATATAAAAACTAAAAATAGTGATTATTCTAATTGTATATAAAGCCAATTATTTTTTTATATGTTTTATTATAAAAAAAATAATTCACTTTCTATGTGATTAGAATAGCTTTGTTAGATTAAATCTAAAAAATATATGTTAAAATATATAATTTTATCTTTAATTTGAAATAAAAATAAAAAATATTTATTAGTAAAATTAAAAACTTTTATATAAAAAAACATGTATTTTTCATACTTTTATTTTGTATTATAAATAAATAAATGTTTAAGAAAATAAAATATAAAAATGATAAAAAGTAAAAAATAAAAAATAATGGATTCTATATTATTCAATTTATCTTAATAAGTCTATAAGTAAATCATTTTATTTGTTAATAATAAATTCTGTTTTGATGTTTTTCTATTTGTTTAGCTCCATTAAGGACAGTATCCGGATATATTGTATTTATCTGATCTTTAAATTGCATTATGACTGGATTTTGTCAACTTTTCCTCTTACGTCTATTCCACATCCCCTGGAGCCAAACTATAAAAAAATAAGTATTTGTGTCATCATTATCAAGAATAAAATAAGAACGTTCGTTGTACTCCATTATTTATCATGTATCCTATTCACCACAACCCGTTGCTACTCAACAGGTGGTTTTTCAGTTACAAGAGTAGAACGTTCATATAACCATAAATAATTATATGACCACGATGTGTTTTCAATACTCTTGCTTTTACACCTAGTGGCAGCGTAACTTCAGATACACAATAGCTCAACAAATGTTTAGTGAAATATATTCACGGAACGCGTTCACATTTTATTCCCTGCTCTTTAAATAATAGTGGTGACGAGATCGACAAAATTCAGGACGTGCGTAAGTAAAATCATATGACATCACATCACATCACGATAGGTAGTCATGGGAAAAACCAAAGCGCGTCGAATCAGTTTTAATATCTTGACTTTTTTCAACAAATCACAAAAGCAATGATTTTTCGCCAACTCACAAAAACACTTAGTTTGCGCATTATAAAATCACATGTTACTACTTTACAAGTCCCGTTTTGTCGTGCCTTCGGCAGCACTCCACACTGTTTAGCAGCTGTTGAATCAGTAGAAGCTAAGCGAACTCCTAAAAGTAAATATAATTAAAAATAATAACACTTTCCATCATATCTATTTAGACATAATTAATATAGCTTTACATTTAATTAGAAGAAAGTTCACCAAAGAAGGCTAGCTCTGCTGCTGTTAAAACCAAGACTGCAAGATCAATCTCGAAAACAAAAAAAGAACCAATTCCAAAGCCGGATGAAGGCCCTAAAAAGCCTGGTAGCAGCTACAACTTTTTTTATTCAGAAAAAATGCAAAAGATCAGAGCCGAAAATCCTAGTATGCGAGTTTCTGAGATCATGAAAAAAGTTGGGGATTTGTGGTCAAATTCATCGGAAGAAGAAAAGAAGGTATTACAGTTACTCGTAAAAATATCTTTTGGTGTGTGTGTTCCTACTATCAGTATGCCAATGTGTTTGTTGGACTGAGAGGAATAGCAGAGTCTCGGATTATCCTCACAAAAAACACTTGCATTATGACTTTTATTTATAGCCCTATCAAGAAAAATTTACACAAGCAAAGCAGAAATACGATGAGGCTTACAAAAAATGGTTCGAGTCAATGACCAGCCTCGACATTATTCGTCAGAATGCACTTCGAAAAGCTCACAAGAAGAAGCCTATGAAAGACCCAAGTTATCCGAAAAGGGCAGTGAGTTCCTACATGATATTTAATAAGTGGCTACAAACACAGCCTTCTGCTGCCAACATTGAAAGTATTACAGAGAGAGCAAAATATGTCGCCGAAGAATGGAAGAAGCTATCCCCGGAAGAAAAAAAGGTATTATTGATTGAATAAGATATATTTTTTTATCGATTATCAACACTCCTTTACTAGTTTCAACGGTTATTTCATCTTAAAATGGAAATAAGTACAGAGAACTCTCCCTAAATGCATCCTCTATAAATGCACACACTAAATATATCCTCCCTAAATGCACACTCTGGCTCAGTCCCAAGTATATATGACCTCTAATTATTTATTTTCCATAAATGCACATTTTGTCTTTTTTTCATATGGTCCCGAGGGGGGTACACTTTGGGAGAGTTCTCTGTAGTACAGGATGAACGTCTGAATAAATGTTATTGTCAACTTTGTAGGAAATTACGAATTATTTTTTATTTCGTATTCTATTCACTGATTTACTTTTTTTTATTCGAAATAATCAAGAAATGGGAAGACCTTTACATGAAAGATAAAGCACGCTTTAACGCCGAAGTAAACGAATACCAGAAAAAACTTGCAAATCTCCATGTTTAATGAGGATGAAGTTATCATTTTGTTAGATTTAACCAATAATATTGAATTTAAAATTTAAGTCTTAATCAACTTTCCTATGCATAATGTTTAAAAGATATTTTCATGCAAATCTACATCTGGAAGTAGATCTGAATTCAGAATCTTGTAGGATTTAAATGGGATTCTATAGGATTCTTTAAAAACGAAAATTTAATCCAGCTCAGATTTCCAGATGCGATATTTCATGTAAATTATATGCGTCTAGTAAGAGTTTTAATATAAACATGCAATGAATTTTTCAAATAAGATTATATATTTTTTTCTAAAACATTAATTTACAAAAGTAAATGCATTACTTTCAAATTTTATTATTAAAATATATGATACAAAAAGTTTTAAAACATTTAATATTTTAAACTATAAAAAATTTTTATTTTAAATATATATTAATAAAAAAATATATTAAATAGTTCTTAACAAGTAATTTAATATATTTTTTATATAATATTAATTTAGAAAAAAGTTGTGATTCTTTAAAAGTTAATTATATTAAATTATATTAATTATAATTTTATTTTTAATATAAATTATATTATGTAAATAGTTTTTGATTAATTATTTTTCATGCAATTTTTATATAAAAATAATAATTAACTTGTATATTTATTAAATGATTATATTACTTATTAAAAAAAAGAATTAACAAAATTCAAATTTATTTTTTTCTTTATTAATTAATTATTAATAATAAACAAATAATAATAATATTGCTATAGTACAAATAGTTTATAATTATCAAATGCTATACTATTATTGAATGTTTTAAAGAAAATAATAATATATTTTTGAATAAAGAAATTTAATCAATTAAAAGTAATATATGTAATATAATAATATATACTAAAAATCAAATAATTATTAATAAAAATAATTTTAGAAAAATTCTAATTGCTTATTAATATTACATTATATTAAATAAAAAATATGTTATATTATAATTCTTATCAAAAATAATACATTGACATATTTTTTATAATATATTTATATTATATATAAATTTTTTGTAACTTAAACTTAAAGTATTTGATGACTATAAACTGTTTGCATTATATTAATTAAATAGTTTATTTATATATATTAATTATATTATAATTTATTACAATAAATTATTTAGAATTTTTTAGTTTAAACTAAAAAGAAAAGTTTATTATATATATTATTATGAAAATATAATTATTAAGTATTATAATACTAGAATTATAATTATATTTATATATTAAATTATTCAAAATAATTAAACATATTATATATATAATATAATTAAATTTATTATAATTAAATTAATTCAATTAAATAATTATATTATAATAATTATATTTTTATTAATAAAAATTATATTATAATTAAAAATAATTAAATTAAAAATTATATTAGAAATTATATTATATATATAATAAAATTAAATATAATTTTTTTCTAATTAAATTATTATATTTTAATATATATTTTTTAGATTTCTTTTTAACAAATTTGTTCTAATTATAAAATTTTTGTAATAAATTAATTTTGGCAGAAAAATATTTAAAAAATTCAGAAAAAATATATGTTAAACTATAACTTATAATCTTTATTTTAATATAAAAATAAAAATATTTAGAAAAATTTATATAAAACAAAAATTTCAATTTTTATTAATAAAATTATATACATAATTTTATAATTCTATTAATTATTATATATTCTTGTTATTAATATAAATTTTTAAATAAGTACAAAAAACTCAATATTAATAGTATAATAATTATTTATTATTTATATTTATAATAAATAATAAGAAAATTCTAATTGATAATTAATTAATTATTTTATTATATTTTTTTATATAAGAATATTTTATTTTTTATTTATTTTATTATTATTTTTTCTTTTCAAATACAAAATTTTTAGATAAAAATCATATTTTAATTAATTATATAAATTAATTTGTTAAAATATTAAATAAAAAATATTATTTAAATTTTTTAATATTTTTCTTTATTATATATAGTCAAATTACTTTATAATTAGATTTATTTATAGTTATATTTTTTATAGTTATTCTATTTTACTTTTTTATTTATAGTCACACTTTCTCTATAATTATCAAATTTTATTTTTCTAAGAATGATAATTATAAAGAGATTTGATTGTATAATTATAATTTTATTAGAGACTTTATTATTAAATTTATAAGATTTACTTTCAAAAACTTATCTATTTTAAAATTAATAATAATATTATAATTAATTAAGATTATATAGTCAATTAACTAGTTTTATTATATAAATAACTAATTTATATTTTATATTCTTATATTTTAAATTTTAAATTTTTTTATATTTTATATTTTATATTTTTAATTTATAAAATAAAATTTTAACAAAGAGGAATTTGCTATGAAATTATTATTTTATTAATTAATTTATATTATTATTATTTATTATTTTTTTGATTATATGATATAAAATATTATTAAATTCTGAGTAATATTTAATTAATTTCTATTTATAAATACTTATTTATCTATTTATTTATTTTTAATTATCTTTTATTTATATTTAATAATATTATAAATTATTAATTATTTTATTATTTTATTATATCATTTTTATTAATTATTAATTATTAATTATTATAGTTTTATTAGTTTTTAATTCTAATTATTAATTTATTTAATTTTAATTATTAATTTATTTAATAGAATGCTAATATTTTGTTAATTTTATATGTAATATTTAGATTAATTTTATATTATATTTATTATTTTTAATATTATATATATTCTTTCAATATATATTTAAATTAAAGATGACATCTCAACTAGTTATAATTTGTGATAGTTAATCAGAAAATTATAACAGAATTATAATAATCAATCAGAAAATTGCAATATAAAAATCAAATAACTTTTAAGTTATTTTTAATTTTTGTTATAATAAAAAATAAATCAATATACTAATTATTTTTAATTATTTTATTCTTATTAATTTCTTTTATTTTTTGAATTCTTGAAAATAATTTATTATAGATTGGTTTGTTATTTATATATATTAAATTTTTTTCATAAATTACTTATATATTGATTAATTATTTTATATTTTATTAAATACTTTATATTATAATAATATTTATTAATATTTTATTGAACACTAGCTAAGAAAGATTTTATTTATTAATATTAAATAATAAAACAAAAGCAATATAATTATAACAAAGTTAATTTAATAATTCTAATATAAATTATAACTAAATAATATTACACATTTTTTACTAGTTAGATAATTAGCTAATAAATACAAACAAGAGCTAAAAGAGAGAATTAAACAATTATAAAAATAATATAAAAATAATATCTAAGTTCTATATCAATTTTTACTGAAATTATTATAATTTGAAAGAAAAAAGAAACAAGCTAATAAAACTTTAATTAGATATAATTTTCTGAATAATCATACTAACTAATTAATTTACAAATTATTTAATATTTGTTAAATTAAACAAATTAACTCTTTATATTAATATAAATATATTTTAGAGCTAATTAAACAAAAATAATAAAGACTTTTTCACTTTGTTTTTTTCACAAGAAAGAAATTATGTTTTTAGTTGAGAGATTCAAATAATTTAATTATAACAAAAATATCAAAAAACTAGTCTATAACAAAATATTAATTCAATAATTCAATAATAATATTTTGATTAGCTCAATATGATCCAAAGCTACTTGTTTACAAGTTTTAAAGTGTACAATTGAGAGAGAAAAATGAATTGGTTAAGTGTTAAAAAATATTTGTTTTATTATATTATTTATTCTCAAGTTCTAATATGTTGAGTTAAAACTTAACTATAACTTATATTTATACATTTTTTGTGAAATACAAAAAACAAAAAAGATAATTTTGCTAATTAAAAATAGAATTTCAATTTACTAAATATAAAAAGTAGAAAAATAAAGAAGAAAAAGTATAAATTTGAAAAATTTTAATTGGTTAAGTTATATCTACTCAAAATAAATAAGTATAAAAGTATAAGAGTATAAATATATAAAAATATAAAAAATATAAAAAGTATAAGAGTATAAATATATAAAAGTATAAAAAGTATAAGAGTATAAAGTAAAAAAATAAATATATATAAATATATATAATATAATTATAAAATATTCTAAGTTCTTTACATGATTTTGTAATTTCATAAGATATTACAAATTATGAAATTAATGATTTTTATAATATAATTGTAATAATAATTATAGTAATAATAATAATATGATATTAATAAAACAAGTAATTAAATTCTAGCAAAAGTAAATAATTTAGTCATAACAAAAAAATATTTTGATTATGTGATTTTAAGAGATAAATCAATTAAATTATATATTACTAATATTTCAATTAGAGTTAAAATTATATATTATATATATAAATATAAATATATAATAAAATTTCACAAAAAATATTTTTTGTAAAAATACAAATAATAATTTTATAAACAAAATTTCAAGATACAAGTATTTTTAAAAATAAATATTTGTTTTTATTTGATTTGAATTTTTTATTACACATTAATTTTGTAATTTAATTGATTTACTCTTTTAAAATTATATGATTCAAGTATTTTTTTGTCATGATTAGGATACTTGCAAAAGTAATAATAATATTATAACTAAAGTAATATTCATAAAATTATAAAAACAATATAACTCAATTAGTTTGAAGTTTAAATTTGGAATAAATTTATTATTAATAAATTTCAGAAATTATTTATAAAATTAATTCAAGTTATATTTTGTATTGGTTTTGATCTTGAAAAATAAATTATTTATAGTAAATCAATTTGTTATTTAACTTGAAAAATAGTTACTAAAAGACTTATTACCTTATATTATAATTTTTAAAATTGTAAAGAAACTTAGTGAAATTATTTTAGCTTATTATAATATAAATATATGTTATCTATCTTTAATTATAATTTTTAGTCTC